AAAAACCAAAAAACAAAAACAAAAAACAAAAACAAAAAACAAAACAAATCCCAACATCCTAGTTCGTAAAAGGGCCACAGGTAGGACAATTTATAAATTCAACCCAATCCCAGTCCTTTTTAAAGGAGCTATTCAGTTTTTATTAATAAATAAAATTGTTTCTTATAGCCATAATATTAAATGATATTCATACGCTTGATAACTCCTCCCCCCTCCCGCCTTCTTCAATAGTCAGTGCTCTTATATTTAGTAAAGCTTGTATAAATATGCATACAAACAAGGATAAAGAAAATGTATGCACTTTCTAAAGCCTCATTTCAGAAGGTTTGTTTTTCCATAGGGGATAACTTTCAAACAGGCCATTTCTAAATGCATTGTTACTAAAACACAACTATATCCATAACTGGTTATGTAACTCACATAAGATACATTTATTTTAATAAACTTTATTAATAAAATAATATACTTTGGCCATTTGCTACATTCATAATTCACAAATGGGAACGCTCAGTAGCAGATCATTTGCATACCATGTATGAGGCCCTAGATTCAATCCCCAGCCAAAAAATAAAAACTCCAAAGAATTATGTCCTAGATGCTAACTCTTTAACTACCATTCTCAAAAGTCCATAACAGATCTCCAGTATTTAGTTGCTGTTCTTTATAAAGCGATGGCCATATACTACAAGCTGCATGCTCATGAAGAAACTATATACTCTTGAAAAGGAGCAAGACTACAAAATACAATTCTTCTAACAGTTTTAGAATCCAAAAGAGATGGGAAGGAGCCCAAAGATGCAAGAATCTGGGACTGTTAATGATGATGTATTTCTTATACTTAGTGTTGATTATAAAGATGTGATCACTTGAAAAATTGATCAAGGTACACATTTTAGTAATTAGTGTATTCTTGAATGTTAGTCATCAAAGCTCCCCTGCCAAAAACCAAACAAACACTTCCGATTGAAACCACTCCTAGGTTTCAGCATTCCCTGGCCTTCACCCCTTCACTAACTGCACTCACAGACAGTTAATCTGTCTAGCTCCTACAGGCTACTGGGCTCTTATGTTGGTAAACTACTTTCAGTCCTCAGCAATTTTGTAATATGTAATTAATACTTTCCACATGTTAGTAATACACTTTTTAACAAGCTAAGGTACTACTGGGACACAACATCCTCATACACACCACTAGCATCCTTCCTGAATGGTTAACTATGATACCTGCTTTAAGAAAACAAAATACAGGGTTAAAATGTCAATAACAGGAAGATTTGACTTACTGGAAAAAAAGTAATATATTTTCTATTTCAAGATAAAAATCATTCATATCATACTAATGGGGAAGAAACTATACATTCTTTGAGCTTAGCATACCACAAACCAAAGCAATAAAACAGCACTTTTGATAACCACTCAATGTATCTGGCCATATTTAAGAAGCAACTATTTGGACACAGTTATTTTAAAAATCTTACCAGAATAGGTATTTTTAAAACACCTTTCCAAAGATTTTATTTTGTGTAAATGTTTTGCCTGCATGTATTTATATGTACCACGTTGATGTCTGATGCAGTTGGAGGCCAGAAGAGGGCATCATATCCCCTGGAACTGGAGTTACAAGTGGTTGTGAGCTACCATGTGGGTGCTGGAAATTGAACCCAGGTCCTCTAGAAGGGCAGATCATGCTCTTAACTGCTGAGCCATCTTTCTAGTGCCAGAATAGGTATTAACATATAGAATTAATTCTCTTAACAGTATGAATAGATCAATATTATTCTCATCTTGTCAGGAAAATATAAGAGAGTAAACTGAATTATTGTTAGGTTAAAATGTTAAGATTATAATGCAGATAGAATTGTAGTTAATTCATTTAAAGCAATCTGTATTAAAAAAATAGATTACATCAGAGACTGAAAAAGATATAATATGCCAATGTTCACAATAGTGTTTGTTATTTTTTTTTCTTTCTTTCTTTCTTTTTTTTGGGGGGGGGTGGGGGGAGTTAGAGACAGGGTTTCTCTGTGTAGTTTTGGTGCCTGTCCTGGAGTTCACTCTGTAGTAGACCAGGCAGGCCTCGAACTCAGAGATCCGCCTGGCCCTGCCTCCTGAGTGCTGGATTAAAGGCGTGAGCCACCACTGCCCTGGTAGTGTTTGTTATTCTTAACAGCTAAAAGCAAACACAAGTCAAGTGTCCATCAACAGATGAATGGATAAAATGATATATAAACACAATGGGATATATTTGCAACTATAAAAAGGAATGAAATACTGAAATATGCTATGCTACAGATGAATCTTGAAAACATACTAAGTGAAATGACTAAGAAGAAAAAGAAAGCATACATTGTTATGGTTGCACTCACATAAGGTGCCTAAAATAGGCAAATTCCTAAAGACTGAAAGTACAATGGAGACTACCAGGGAGTAGGTTGATATGAAGAAGGTGGAATCTAACAGGTTTGTTCTTCTGGAAAAGTGAGGATGGGGAGTTACTACTTAACAGGCTGAGTTTCTACTTGAGATGATAGTTATTTTAGGAAATAATAGTGATGATAACTCAATATTGTGAATGAATGTACATAATACCACTAAGTTATACTCTTTGAAATTGCTAAAATGACTCCATATAGTGGTGAATACCTGTAATTCCAGCATTCAGAAGGCTAAAACAGAAGGATCACAAGAGGCTAGTCTGAGCTAAAAAAAAAAAAAAAAAATTGCTAAAATCAATTTTATGTCATATACATTTTATTATAAAAAAAAATGGGGCTTGAGGTGTAAGTCAGTGGTAGAGTGCCTACCTAGTATGTTCAAAGGCCCTACATATATAATGAAGAGCTTTTGAAGATTTCTTGAACAAAGCAATCTATACACTGCTTGAGGAATATTAATTTAGACAAATGGTTGATAAGCCATGTACAATTTAGCTTAAAGTACAACATTGAAGTGAAAAATAGGCTACTAGAAAAAATTACGCCCAACCTAAAATGAGGGAACATTAGCTTTCCCTGAGCAGTTTCTGACAGACTTTATTGGACATAGTTCTTTGCAAGTCATCAAGTATAAATAAAGCCAGTTACACTGACAGCGAGCTCAGAGAACAATGAATGTCTTGACTGCCCATGGTAAAAGAATGTTAAGGATATTTTAAAAATAAGAAAGAATGCTAAGGGTAAATACAAACTTACTGGATTCCCAAGTGTTACCTAAATATTCTTTTAAACTAAAAATCTTCTCTAAATGTAAGCACATATTTGCCTTAAGTTTTTAAAAAAATGTCATTTTCACTCCATAAAAACATTTTAGTAAGTGATTCAGTTCTCTACCAATCAATGCCCACAGTATGTTAAAAAGGACACCATACTGCTAACAGAAAAGTGGCAGCAGCAGCAGCAATGCTTCCCCACCTCTCTCACTTCAATCGAAGACTCTTATTACTCTACCCCTGGTGTGGGAGGGGGGACGAAGTGTAAACCCTCAACTGACCAGAATGAGAAGGACGGACTAAAAGTAAGATTCCTTGTTGAAGCCATCCGTCCGCTCTTCTGGTATAGGCTAGTCAACAAATGTGCAGGTATTCTCCTAGTACAAAAGCTACAAACATGAAAAAATGGCTAAAGCTGAGAAGACACATCTCTAGAATCCTGACATTCCTCTGAGACATGTCCTAATACCTGACACAGCCTAATCCCTCAATTTAATAAATGTAAAAGTATCATGTCACATGGGTACCCTATTTCCCTCTATTAAATGAATGTACTGCCCCTTTTCAATTCTTTTTTTTTGTTTTTTTTGTTTTTTGAGACAGGGTTTCTCTGTGTAGCTTTGCGCCTGGCCTGGAACTCACTCTGTAGCCCAAGCTGGCCTTGAACTCACAGAGATCCGCCTGGCTCTGCCTCCCGAGTCCTGGGATTAAAGGATTGCATCACTACCACCCCGCTTCCTTTTTCAGTTCTATGGGAGCCTGGCCCAAAACAAAACAAACATCACCAACAAAACCCTCTAACCTGTTTTCATCTCTATTTGTTCTCCAATCCCCTTAAGCTCATCTACATTTGTAAACTCAACATTCACTGAACTCTGTACTAGAAACTACTAATTTTCCCTCCGGCATTAAAAATAAAACAAACAACACAACTACACGGGCAAGTGTACCTGTTACATAAACAGTGGTACTGGAAGTGGACTGCTCCCAGTTGGTATGTGTGTAAATGATGCCAGAAGAATCTCTAAATGAAGATCTCCAAACCTCCTAACTATGTAGTGCTACACACAAGAGATCTGTAAATACACACTGAATTTTGGCTCTTAAGGCCTACTTCCAATTTTTGTATAAGAATATTATACACACGCCTTTAATCCTAGCACTCGGAGGCAGAGCCAGGCGGATCTCTGTGAATTCAAGGCCAGCCTGGGCTACAGAGTGAGCTGCAGGACAGGCACCAAAACTACATAGAGAAACCCTGTCTCAAAAAACAAAAACAAAAAGATTATACACCCAATAAGCGACCCACCAGCTTTTTAATCCTTTATACTGTAATTCTATCCAAAGACAATTAACATCTTTTCCAATCCCGATCATCATAAATCATTAAGTTAAAAAGGCAATTTGGTCAAACACAGAGGTCTGTCCAACCGGTGACACATAAACACTGTATTTTGTGTCTGTAATCTGCATACACAGAGTAGCCCAAGACAAAAACCAAGCATGGTACAAAACTACGCACATTACAAAATCATTTTGTCCCATTAACTTAATTCAAAATGCACCAACTATGCCTTAAGACTACACGTTATTCGGACTCGATGGGCAGCCTCGTCTGCATCTTTCAAAGGCTTTGCAGAAATGCAGGTGAAGAGAAATCAAAGCGTTTGGAGAATCAAGCTTCCAGGGATACTAAAATGCAAATGATAGCTGGTTCTTCGGAAAGACAGGAACCGGCGCAGGCAGTCGAGGTTGAGACTCCTACGAGCCCCCAAGAGCAGAGGACATCGGCGAATTTAAAGTCGGCGGGACCCACCAGATTGGCTTCTGTGCCCGCCTGGAAGCCCCCCTATGCACATCTGAGACCCTCTCTCTTAGAGCCGAGGCCTAATCCTGGCAGCGGCCTGGGCGGTAGTCACCACCGGACATTCCAGAGCATTAAGACGACAGGAGAACTGGGACCCGGAAAATAGGGGCGGGAGTGGGGGAGATGGGGGGGAAAGGAACCCACAGAGGAATGCCAACGGGGCCCAGACTCGGCCTTACCCTCTCATGGTGAACTTGACCACAGCAAGTCTGGAGCCCGCCCCACTCAGCTCCGGCTGGAAATCTGGATCGCTCCCGACCGGCTTCACTCCCACCATCCTCACGAGACAACCCGGCGGGGCGGCCGCGACGCTTCCGGCTTCGAAACTTGAGAAGAGAGCCCGAGCGAGGCCCGAGGGAGGCTGCGGGAGGCCGGGGCCTGGACGGGAGCGGCGACCACGACGTGTCGTCCCGGAGCGCTGAGTGCCGAGTCACGCCAGGGAGCAGCCGAGCCGAGGGGGAGGAGACGCGGGCTGGGAGGGGAGCGAGACGGGAAAGGCGCGCAGCACCCAGCAGCCACCGCGCCGACCGAGCCTTGCCTCCGCCGCCTTTGACGTCATTTCCGCGCCTTCCGTTTGCCGGCCCACCTGGACCTTGCGCTGCTGGAATGGCGCAAGGCGCAGGCGCAGACGTAGACGTAGGTCCAGGCTGGAGGAGTTTGCGGCTCCGCTAGCGTTCAGAATTTGCTTCCGTAGCTTCACTAACCTGGTTTTGTTTTTTTTTTTTTTTTTTTTTTACTTATTTTTCGAGACAGGGTTTCTCTGTGTAGCTTTGCGCCTTTCCTGGTATATATCATCTATTTATCTTTACCTATCTATCTATATCTGTCTATCATCTATCTATCATCTACCTACCTACCTACCTACCTACCTACCTACCTACCTACCTACCTACCTACCTACCTACCTACCTACCTACCTACCTACCTATCTATCTATCTATCTATCTATCTATCTATCTATCTATCTATCTATCTATCTATCTTTACCGAGGATTGACTTGGGGGAGACTGGGCGAAGGGACTCCCCTTTCCATTGTGGACCCATGGCTACTGCCTAAGCTCATAAGACATTCTTTGCAAGAACTTAACAATGGTCCTGTCTTGTATTCTGGGCAAGTCACCACGCGCAAAATGGATGTTAGAAACATTCCTTTGCGGATTTTATTACATATGGGTGCTTTGAGCATTCATTCAGAAAGTATTATGTACCCAAATTATGACAAAAAAGAAACAACCCCCATTTCTTCAGGAAGCCGGAGTCCAGTCACACACAACTCGAACAAATTTAGATAAGAAAGTTTGAAATGAGTGAGATGAGCTTGGACCACAAGGTAAAGGGTAGATGATGTAACTTCAGAATTCAATCTTTTTTTGTTTTATATTTTTTGTTTTGTTTTGTTTTGTTTTTGTTTTTCGAGACAGGGTTTCTCTGTGTAGCTTTGTGCCTTTCCTGGAACTCACTCTGTAGTCCAGGCTGGCCTGGAACTCACAGAGATCTGCCTGCCTCTGTCTTCCGAGTGCTGGGATTAAAGGCGTGCGCCACCACTGCCCGACCCAGAATTCAATGTTGTAGAGTCATTGGGTTTAAAAAAAAAAAAAGAGAGAGAGAGACTATGAAGTGGAGAGGGAAAGTGGGAGGGGGATACCAGAGGGATTGGAGCAGAGGGAGTTGGGATTGATTTGATCAAAGCACATATGCGTGTATGAAATTCTCAAAAATCATAATAGACATAGGATATAAAAATTCATGAAAAAGACCGGGCAGTGGTGGCACACACCTTTAATCCCAGCACTCGGAAGACAGAGGCAGGCAGATCTCTGCGAGTTCAAGGCCAGCCTGGGCTAGAGAGTGAGTTCCAGGAAAGGCGCAAAGCTACAGAGAAACCCTATCTGGAACAACCAAGAAAGAAAGAAGAGAGAGAGAGAGAGAGAGAAAGAGAGAAAGGAAAGGCCGGGCGGCGTGGCGGCACACACCTTTAATCCCAGCACTCAGGAGGCAGAGCCAGGCGGATCTCTGTGAGTTCAAGGCCAGCGTGGTCTACAGAACGAGATCCAGGACAGGCACCAAAGCTACACAGAGAAACTTTGTCCCGAAAAACCAATAAATAAATAAATAAATAAATACATAAAATTCATGAAAAGACATACAATGGCTGGCTATGAGTAAAACAAAAACATAAGAATTTTAAGTATGAAAGAGAAGTTAGACAATGAAAGGTAATAGGAATATTCCAGCTAGAGGAACCAGCATGTGCAAGTGAGTTGAAAGGACAGACAATAGTAATATTTGTTTAATACATGCATCAGACATGGTTTAGATATATATTAAAATGTATTTATATACAGATATATACATTACGTCATTTTATTTTCATGTTATATTATAGACAGTATAATGACTTTAATAGAGACAGGCAGAATTTTCCATGATGTCTGCAACTTCTTTTATGGAGATAAGCAAGCCATTAACTTCTCTGAACTTTTTCTTGTCTGAGAAGTGTGTTAATGCCCACTTTATAGAATTGTGAAAGCTGAAAGTTATAGTCATGTTCAAACCAAATATACAATACCCAGTAAATACTGTTTGTAAAGAGTTCATCATTTGGAGCTGTGTTAACAAAATATCACAGAACAAGTGGCTTATCACAACATAAAATTCTCCAGCTGGAGAGATGGCTCAGCAGTTAAGAGCACTGGCGGCTGCTCTTCCACAGGACAGGGGTTCAATTCCCAGAACCCATGGCAGCTTACAACTGTCTGTAACTCCAGTTCCAGGGTACCTGACACCTTCATACAGATATACATGCAGGCAAAACACTGATGCACATTAAAAATAAAAAGAAAAAAGCCCAAAAACTTCATTTTAAAAAGAACATAAAATTCCTATGGGTCTAGGAACTGGAAGTCCAGAAGATTGGAAACTGATGGAAATAAATGAGAAGGTTGCTGTAAGAGTTAGTTTCCTGGGGTCCTTCTTATTTTTATGTGAAGAATCCTCAAAAAGCTGAAAATAAATCTATCATATGATCTGGCTATACAACTTTTCGGCATGTACTGAAAAGACTCAACAGCCTACTCCATATACTTGCTCAGCAATGTCCATAACTGTCCTATTCATAACAGCAATAATTGGAATTCCAGGAAATGGAAACAAGCTAAACGGTCTTCAACAAATGAACGGATAAGGAAACTGTGGTACATATACACAACAGAATATTATTCAACAATAAAGAAAAATAAAATAATGAAATTTGCATAGTATGAACCTAGATGCTTTGGGATGTCTTTTTTTTATGCTGTGAATAAAAATGTTGCTCTGATTGGTTGATAAATAAAATGCTGATTGGCTGAAGGCAGGAAGTATAAGTGGGGCGAGCAGACGAGGAGGATTCTGGGAAGAGGAAGGACTGAGTCAGGAGTTGCCAGCTAGACACAGATGAAGCAAGATGACAAGGCAGAACTAAGAAAAGGTACCAAATAATGCAGCTAAACATAGATAAGAATTATGGATTAATTTAAGTGTAACAGCTAGTCAGTAATAAGCCTGAGCTGATGGTCAAGCAGTTATAATTAATATAAGTTTCTGAGTGATTATTCTATAAGTGGGCCATGGGGCTGTGGGGGCTTGGTGGGACCTGAGAAACATCCGACTACATCTAGAAAAATTCTACTGAGTGAGGCAACCCAGTCCCAGAAAGATAAATGCCAAATATTTATTCTTTTTTTTTTTTTTTTTTTTTGGTTTTGCAAGACAGGGTTTCTTTGTGTAGCTGTGCACCTTTCCTGGAACTCACTTGGTAGCCCAGGCTGGCCTTGAACTCACAGAGATCCACCTGGCTCCGCCTCCAAATATTTATCCTTATCTTCAGTTTCTAACTCTAAATGGAGTAGTCATAGTAACAAGGAAAGTATAAAGAAATGAACTTGGGCGGGGGAATCACAGGATACAGATAATAAGATGTGGGAAATGGAACAGCAAGGAGAGGGCTCCACCTTAGAGGAGGATGGAGGTCAGTACAGAAGAAGGGACAAGCAACACCAAGATGGTTTGATAAAGTATCAAGGAATCATGTTATTTTATATTTACCTAAAATTATACACAATACACATTAAGTGTATGCACACACACACACACACACACACACACCTACCTACCTTAACTGTCCCTCTAGTTTTTTCCTAATAACACAGAAAACATCTAAAACAAGATAGGTACACAGATTTCTGAGAAGCACAATGGAAAGAATTATAGACACAGTGGCATTTTTTAATGCTCATTTTTTGTGCCCTTCCATATAGATTCTCAATCTTTCTCTATCTTGGCCTTTGTCCCCGCAAGACAGTGTTCATAGACTGCATCAAGTTCCCTCAACAGAGCTTATTGGACGGCAGAAAATGACGAGACCTAGATGCTTTATCCTTTCTTGCTGTGCAGCGGCAGATTGTGTCACCACCAAAGTTGACAACTTACTTTGTACCATTTTCTAATTCATGTCCGTCTCTTCCATTGCCTCTTCATAGCTAGGAATAGTTATAACTCCTGACTGTCAGCAGTACCTGGGCACAATGTGAGAAACACTGACCTGGATGCCTGGCCTGCTGATAGAAGTGGGCCTAGACGAGAGAATAATGAATCGGGCATCCCACATTCACCTTAGAGACTCTATGGTTACTAGAACGTTGACTGATACCTATAGGGAGATGGAGGGGTGTATGATTCCTAGAGGGGTCCATTATTCCTCTAGAATGAACCACTAGACTACTTACCATTAACACAGGTGGTAAACCCAAATACGATAGCTAATCAGCAATGCTCAAAGACTTCACTTTCCTAATACAAGCAGAGGTCTTTTAGTTTTAAAAAGCATGGCGGTTTTTCTCCTCCCCTATTATCACCTCCCACAGATGTGTGCTACACCCAGTTAAAGTAAAACTTTTCTACTTGCCATTCTGTTGTTATTATCTCTACTTTTTAGCAAGACCATAGTTTTTTTCTCTCTCCTAAACTCTGTTTACAGGTTTCTCTATGCATGTCTTTTTTTTTTTAAATATGTTATCCATTTGGTATTTTTTGTTTGTTTTGAGGCAGGTGTTCTCTTCATAGCCCTGGCTGTCCTGGAACTCACTCTGTAGATCAGGCTGGCCTCAAACTCAGAGATCTGCTGGCCTCTACCTCCTGAGTGCTGCAATTAAAGGCATGAGCCACCACCACCTGGCCCATTAGGGGTTTAAAAAATTATATATATTTATTAATTTTGTGTTTATAAGTATGGATGCCCATGTTCCACAGCATGTCTGTGAAGTCCAGAGGACATCTAGTGGAAATCAGTTCTCTCCATCCACCCTATGGGCGAGTACCAGGAATCACACTCAGATCATCAAGCTTTGTGTCAAGCACCCCTATCCATTGATCCATCTTTCCAGTCACAGTCACTCATTTTTAATGTAGTAGTTTTTTAGTTTTATAACTCTGCCTTACATTAAAAATTTCAAGTGTATAAATA